CTGGAGGGCAGATTTGTAATATAGGAGCATGAAATGAAAAACTTCTTAAAAATAAAAAAAAAAACAGCAACAATACAAAAACTAGAAGATGATAAGAGGATCTATAACTTAAGAATTAAGAACATAAGAGAAGAAGTAGGGACACAAACAAATGGACTACAAAAGCTATTCACAGAAATAATCTAAGAGAATTTCCCTAATTTAGCAAAAGGTAAAGATACTCAGATGTATGAGGCATACAGGACCCCAGCCACCTACAACCCAAACAGAGCAACACCCAGGCATATAATAATCAAAATACCAGAAATCCAATATAAGAACAGAATATTAAAAGCCTTCAGAGACAAGAAACAGATCACTTACAAAGGAACACCCATCAGAATTACAGCAGACTCAGGGGCTGGAGATTTAGCTCAGTGGCATAAGCACCTGCCTTGCAAGCAGGCAGTCGTGAGTTCGATCCCCGGTACCAGGAAAAAGACAAAAAAAAAAAAAGAATTACAGCAGACTTCTCGGTACAAACCATCAAATCACAAAGAGCGTGGGACAAAATAATTCAAGCTTTGAAAGACAATAACTTCCAGCCAAGATTGATATATCCTGCACAACTGTCCCTAGAAATTGATGGAAAAACAAGGTGCTTCCAGGATAAAGAGGAACTAGAGGAATTTGCAACCACCAATTCAACTTTACAAAGAATACTGCAGAATATTGTAAAAAAGGAAAATACCAAGATTCCATAAATAGTGGCAGAGAGGCCACAATGAATGGAGCAGAAAGTGAAATGAAGAAGACAAACTGACAACAAACGACAGAAAAAGAGCTCAACAGAAATGAGGCAGAGAAGATCGGATGGTAGGAACAGTTATTTTGGGGAAAACAAGACATCATAATAACTAGTGCTGATTTAAGTATCATCTTGTTTTGAAGTCCATCAAACATGTATTCTTCTGTCTCCTTCGGTCTTAAACGGTTGTATCTTATTGGATTTTATTATATATGATAATATAAGTAAAAACTTTTATAGACAAGGAGATTACACAGAAACCATTGTTCATTTTCTGTTCATTGGTTCTAAATACCCTGTAATAATGTCATTCTCTTGAATGATTTTATAATGTCTTGATATGTTTGGCTACAGTATACGAAGTTATACTCAAAGATTTCAAGGAAAGAGACACTATGGCAACTATTTTTATGTTGGGACGTCTTGTGGTGAAACACTATTTTGCTTAAATGGTTATGTTTTGACCTGCGCTGTTCTGTTGTTATGCCCTCTTTTATTTCAATCCCTTTTTTTAAATGATTTACTTTTTTCTTTTTATCTTTTTAATTAAGGGAAAAATAAATAAAAAATAGCAGGGTACATTATAGTAACCTACTTTGATTTCCTATTAACTTGATTTGAAATCCTGTATTGCCCTCACCATCTTGTTTTGACTGATTTTCCCCTATTCTGCTTTGCTTGATAGTACCAAGTTCGAAAGTATAGGCAACAACTGTGAAGACAATAAGATTCATTATGACCCCCATTCTGATTGACTTTTAAAGTCCTGTAATGTCTCCAATGCTTTGGTTTTATTCTTTACTGTTTTGTTAAATTTTATTATAATTGGCAATTCTTCTTAAAATAGCAAGAGGCAGTATGGGAACCATTGTTGATCACTTTGTATTTTGTTTTTACATTATCTATTATGTCCATCCTTTTGATTTGACTGACTCTGTTCTGATATGTTGCATTTGATTTTACTCTCTTCAAAAAAAGTAATAAGAACTGTGGGAGTAATAGAACCCAAAATGTGTAATTGTCATTGCACAAAAGAAAAGAAAGTGCACTAAAAGTTATAACTGCATATGTGTTTAAGTGTATAAGATAGATAACTATATTACTGAGTTTTTTGGATCATTAAACAAAACTGTTTGCACTCTCACTGTTTGAAAGTCCACTTTATATGCTTCAATTTTGTAACTTGAAATAGTTATTAGAAATAGTTATTTCTAAGATGAGAATATGTAATCTATTAACTAGTGATTTCTTACTGTTTATTTTTTAAATTTTGTATTACTTGTACCCTTTTTCTGTTTTTTTCTTTTTCTCCTTCAATTAAAAAAAAAGAAATATTGACTGCATGTATGGGATGCTACTAGAAATAGTATCTGACAGGGGCAAGAACCATAGACCTAGGCCTGCAAGTTGAAGCCCGTGTTGGGTACTTTTCTCTCAGCAATGAGACAAAATATCCAGTGCCCAAAATAAAGAAAAGAAAGGTTTATTTAGCTTACAGTTTGTGGAGGTTTCAGTCAATAATCAGCTGGCTCCAAGGTAGGGTGTCATGAGAGAGGAGCTGCAGCAGATACCAGAAGTGACAAGAGTCAAAGGGCAAGAAGGCAGGAGCATGGAGAGAAGACTCTTTCTGTCCCTTATTGTTTGCAGGCCACATAGCATTCACACTCATAATTTCATCATTGGACCATGAATTAATCACAAATTCTAGAAGCCTGCCCCCATGACTGCATGTGGCTGTGGGGGGACATCCATACACAAACCATAACAAAGCCCTTGCTCAATATATGGCCCAGACCTTAAATGTTATGTGCCAGCCTTCTTGTTTTGTTTTGTTTTGGGTACTGGGGATCAAACTCAGGACTACATGCTTGCCAGGGTCCTGTGCCAGGTTTTGATGTTGTTTATGGATTAAACTGTTCAAATGAAAAAAAGTGGTTTTGCAAAACCACATTGTTCCTGATTTGTTCACTACAAGCAGGGAGGTTCTTGCACCTCTCTTACATATAAAATGCTATATTTATAATTCCCCAACCTTTGAGGGAGTGGGATGTGGGGAACCACTCAGATTGCTTCAAAGGTCATGGGTATCTAAGGACACCTGAGGAGATGACCCTGCCTCTGTGGCACAGGTGCACAGTGGGACACAGTTACATAATCATGACTTAGCACAGGTAAACACATGCACTGGTTGTGACATTAAGGATGTAAATATGAGATAACAATTTGTATAAGAATTATACAGGGCTGGGTGTGGTAGCACATGCCTTTAATATCAGCACTTGGGAGGCTGAGGCAGAAAGATAATTGCAAGTTCAAGACCAGCCTGGATTAGAAGGTAAGCTCAAGGCCAGCCTGAACTGCACAGCAAGACCTTGTCTCAAAAAACAAAAAAATTATACAATAAAGACACAGGCTGCTTTTGTGCCCTAGTACTCTTATGTTCTGTACCATGAAGCTGGTTGTTGTCACTGTTGTCTTACACATGTACATTATTTAAACTTGGGACCTTGTGGAGGACCACCTGGATGACTCTCCTTAAATAAAGAGCAATTTTCTCCATTTTGGCTAAACTTGGCCCCATCTCCATGTACTGGTAATGTACAGAGCCGGCTAGGCCATTTCTCTACCCCTTCAATTGGTCTTAAGCAATGCAAACAGGGCTGGCTGTGGTGCTGATGCGTAATCTTTTAAACTAGAGATAGTTGCTGTTTCCCCAGCCTGAGAGGGGATGAAGAGCCCCTGCTCCAAGCTGTCAACTGGGATTGAGCCTGGAAATAAGAAGCTACAACTTGCCAGGACAGAAAAGTTTACATATCAGAACTGAAGCACTGATCCCAAAACATTAGATGCTGCCTCAGTTGTGTTATGCAAATTACTCTTTCTGCATACCCTTCCATCTGCATATTTCAGAGGTGCTCTCGGGTCATCTATCTCTGTCAAGCCCAGCTCATAGCACTCATGTACTTCCTGTGTTTCTCACAGTCATTCACAGTCACTCATCATCAAGCCACTCCTTTATGAGTCAATAAAATTTGGGTTGGGCCCTGGATCAAGGACTTTCTTCTGGTGAACCGCCATCTTGGCTGGACTTAGGACCTCCTTGGTTTCCCCTAAGTGTAAATGAGTCTTTGTTTTTATTCTCATTTGGGTTACACTGGAAGTGGTAGACTGGAATTAACTTATTGCAGTTCCAATAACTTTTCCATGGGATTAATCTGCTGGGTGTTCTGTCCTGGCAACAAGAAAGTAACTAGGACAGAACCCTGTGGAAAGCTCCATGTGGTAATGGTCACCTGAGACAACTATCCTACATCAGATCCTCCAGCCTTGACCAAAACCTCATGGTGCTCCAAGGCACAGCACCTGACCAAGTCACTCCTGCATCCCTAACCCTCAGAAACTGGAGCTAATGTTCAGCAGTTTAAACTACTGAACTTTGGAGTGATTTGTTACACAGAAAAAAAAAAAACTAATATATTTGGTGTCCAGGACTGTGCCATGTTCAGTTCTCAACATTCAGGGTCACTTTTTTTCCACATAGAGTCTTGTTATGTATTTCAGAATAGCCTTGTACCTGCAACAATTACCCCAAATCCTGGTATTTAGAGGCATGTGCCACTGATATAGTGGAACAAAACTCCCAACCTGCTATATGTCTGGTATGAGTTTGTGTTCTCTAAAGTTGAACGAATTTTAGGAACAATGGAGGTTAAGAGAAAAATATATTTATTGAGAGAAAGCTTCTGCCTGAGAGAGAGACAGACAGACAGACAGAAGAGTCTCCAGTGGGTTGCCAAAGACTCTTGTCTTTTCTAGGGACTTTTATAGAGCAAAATCTGGTCTTCTGCATTGGCTCCTTTGAGCACCCAGTCATGTCTGCCTGTAACACTTCTTCCCTCTTCGAAGCTTTTTTTTTTTTTTTTTTTTTTTTTTTTTTTTAACTAAAAACTTCTTTCTATTCAACCTCCGTTGTTCCTAGAATTCACTCCTCGATTCACTCCAGCATCCTTATTTGGAGTGCTCCACCATGCAAAACAGGCGTTTGCTGAGTTATCTGAGTCCCTAAAGGTGTTTTCGGCCTCGTCAAAGACACTCCTCAACCTCTCAGTGAAACTGGAATAGCATTTCCTTCACCGAGTCCTCCTGCGCCCCGCCCGGAAGCGTCCGAGGGTCAGGGAGCCGGGACTTGGGCCAGACCCGCCAGTTCCGGAAGTCAGCAAGAACAGGGACAGCACACGCGCCTGCCCACCAACTGGCGTGCTCAGCGGCCTGCGTACCACAAGAGTTCGGACTACTAACAGTGAGAATTTTGCGACTCTCGGTTCACAGCAACTGAGCCAGCTGGAGGAACCTCGGCCCCAAGCCCAGCTCCCACTTTGCTCCGAGCCCGAGGCTGCGCGGGCGTTAGACTACAACTCCCGGGAGGCCTCGCGCGCCAGCGGCTGCTGATTGGCTGTGTGGCGGGTGGCGTGGCCCGGCCGGCACAGAGTCCGCCTGTGCCCGGCGGCCGATGGCTGCGCTCCGCTGGGCGGCGGCGCTCCGCTGGGCTCCTGGGCCGGCGGCGCGCGCGGCGGCAGGGCTCCTGGGTCGCTGCTCCGGGAGATCCTACTCCGCGGGCTGCGCTGAGGTGAGGACCTGGGTTCCGCAGAGCTGTACTAGGAGCTGGAGGCGGGACCGGGACGGCAGCATCCTGACCTCCCCGGGAGATCCTTAAGACTGAGGGGCCGGGGCCCTGCGTCCCGCCGCCGCACTGGAGGCCCCGGCTGGAAGTCTTTGCACGTGGAGAGCCCTCATCAGATGTTGCTCGGCGCTTTGCTGCGCGTCAGCCGGTCCCCAGTTGCTCCGCATTTGTGCTTGTTTTCCTGTGGACTTGATCTCTCTCCTTGATTTCCATGATGAAATCATGTTGGTTGTGATTTTTTCAAGTACTTTTACAAGAGAGTGGGGCATCTTGCCGCGGACGCCCTAGGGGGCGGCACCTCTAGACAGACGGCGCCGAAGTGGCTGTGGGTTTGAGACGGGCTCTCGCGTTGGTCCGCTTCACGGTGGACCTGTGAGGGGATGATCTGCGGGCCCGGCAACTGTTGGGTGTCTGTCGTGTGCTGCAACTGTGCAGATTCCAGAATTTCTCAGCGTCTTTGGGGTGGGGTGAGGCCCTGGGGTTAGCGAGGACTCCGGGGTCGGAGTCAAGTGTTTAAGTACTTCTCTGTGGTCAGCCAGCCAGTGTCTGTGTCTTAAAGCTAAACTAGGTTTCCTCTGGGCCATTTTGCCTTTTTAAATTTAATTTTATATTTGCAGTTCTGGGTTTTGAACCAGGTCCTTCACACTGAGCTGTATCCCCAGCACCTTTTGATTCTGAAACAAGATCTTGCTAAATTGCCCCGGTGGGGCTTAAATTTTTGATCCTCCCACTTCAGCTTCCCAGCGTGCCACTATTGGATTACAAGCGCGGGCCACTGTGTTGCACTGGGCTTTTGCTGTTGTTTATTTAAATTTAAGTTTTCTTTTGTTTTTTTGAGACAGGATCTCACTATATAGCTGCGACTAGCCTTGGACTCACTGTGTGGCTCAGGCTGGCCTCAAACTCAAGGCGATCTGCCTGCCTCAGCCTCCTGAATGCTGAGATTACAGGTTTGTGCCTGCCTATTTTTTTAAGTTTTAATTAATTAATTATTATTATTTTTATTTTTTGAAACAGGGGCTCACCATGTAGTGCAGGCTGGCCTTGAACTCACTTATGTAGCCCAGGCTGGCCTGGAGCTCTTGATGATTGGCCTGCTTCAGCCACCTGAGTGCTGGGGTTTCCGGTGCATGCCACCACTAAATTTCTGTGTATAATGATGGTACTGTTTTTTTTTTTTTTTCTTTTTTTGTGGTACTGAGGATTGAACTCACAACCTCGCACTTACCAGGCAGGCACTTATGCCACTAAGCTAAATCCCTAGCCCTGATGGTACTGTTTTACATGGTGTATTCACAGGGCCTTTTTTAAACATATTTTTAAATTAATTGTTAGAAAATGCCAGGCATGGTGGTGCACACCTGTAATCCCAGCACTGAGGAGGCTGAGGCAGGAGGATTGCCAAGAGGTCCACACCAGCCAGGGATGCAAAGAAAGTTCAAGGCCAGTCTAAACTGCATAGCAAGATCTTGTCTTAAAAAGAAAGAAAGAAAAAGAAAGAAAGAAAGAGCATGTTGCTCACTTTGTGCTGGGTACCCTTCAAGTATGTAAGAAGTACTGATTCTAGTTGTTTCACTTTATTCAATATTCTGTTTTGATTGGTTTTATTCTGTTTTGTTTTCACTATATCAACAACTATTGTGAATATAACAAGATACACAATGGTAGCTATTGTTTTCCTAGTATCTTGGTTTGAAGCCCTGTACCAATTTTGCTGCTTTGTTGTGATTGGTTTTGTTCCATTCTGTTTTGTTGGGTTTTATTCTTTAAAATAAAATTAAAAAGAAATACTAATTTATAAAAATCTTCATAGTAACTGAGATAAGTACTTATGTGGTCCGTCTTCCATCTTACAGACGAAGGAACTGAGATGGATCAAGCAGTTTGCTGAAAGGCACACCCTTGGCTTTTGCAAAAGTGCCAACTCAGCCGGGTGCCAGAGTCCAAGCTCTTAACAATGTTTTCATTGTCATTTTATGTATGGAGCATCTCAGGTTCAAAGAAGTTAGGTGACATGGCCAGTACCATAGAGCTCTAAGTAGTCAAGATGAAAGCATGGGATATGTTGATGAAAGGACTTTGTAAGCTGTAGTGATAAATATTGCCATCATTTATTACTTGTATTTGCTCTTGCGCCTGTGTTAGGTTTCTTGCTCAGTGCTCAGAATACTCCAGCGCTGCAGTGTGATAGGATCAGAAACAGTTTGTTGAGCTTCCTGTGTAGCAGGAGGTGCTTGGTTTTCTCTCCGGCTGTTTTCTGGTGGTCAGAAATCGCTTCCTTCCGTTTTCTCAGCATCCATGCCCACGTGGAATACACCTGGCCATCACCCTCATTCTCTTAACTCTTGGAGGCTCTGTGTAGCCCCACGGAGGAGCAGAAGGCTGCTCCCTGGGTGTCTGACCTGTGCACGGAGAGGAAGTGGAATCATTATGTCATTCTAGTTCTCTTTCATTCTTTGGTTCCCTGGACTTTACCCCGTCTTGGGTTTCCTTCTCACCCTGATTACTGCTCCTCTTTTTCTTGCTAGCAATTTTTATATGGTCCGTGCTTAAATGGTGGTGTTAGGAGGCTAGGGAAGGAGGATCACAAGGCAATGACAAGTTGGATTAAATTGTGAGTTCCAGGCCAGTCTGACTACAGAGTCAGGTCCTGTTTATGAAAACCAACAGAACGCACACAAAACACTAAGTCCTGTTCTTCCCAGTTCTCTGAGAGCAGAAACCTCCCAAAGTTTCATCCTGAGTCCTCTGGCTAGTTCTGATGTTTCTACGTCTGCCCAAGAGGTCCACAGAGGGATGTAGCTTTCGTTCTTTCCAAACCTCTTGGGGTCAGAGGTGCAGCACAGTGATTCAGGGTTTACCTAGCAGGTCAGGGCCCTGGGTTCAATCCCCAGTACCATTAAAAAAAAAAAGATCAGCCTCCGCCTGCTGTTCCACCTTGATGGCCTTGTCGCCTGGGTCCAGTGAGCACAGCTTTCACCCTCCCAGCATCCCAGGCGACTCAAAGCTGGTAGGTCACTGTGGCTCCTCTCTCTGCCCTGCCAGGTTTTGACCTTTCTGCCCCCCAGGGGTGTTCCTCTTTTGTGCATCCTTGTTGCCACTACCCTAAAGCCACCTTCTTGCTCATGTGGATTGCAGTGGGGTGGGACCTGGTCTCCTTCCCTCGGGGACCCTTCAGTCTATCCAGTCCTTTCTCTGTGGTTGAAAATTTTTGTTTGTTTTTTGAGACAGGATCTTGCTATGTAGCCCAGGTTGGCCTTCAACTCAACATGTGGTGCAAGCTGGCTACAGATTACAGGTATGTTGAGGCAGGGTTTCACTATGTAGTTCACGCTGGCCTTGAACTCACTTTGTAGCCCAGGTGCAGCTGAAGTTTTCTGTAGTGCAGTTCTGATGATGCCACATTATTGTTTCAGATTCCTTAAACTGGCCTCAGATGGCTGTGCCAGCGAGTCCTGCTCACCCCTTAGGCTGAGGAGCCCTTGGTGCGGGCCCTCCTATCCCTGTCCCACTGTCCTGTGGCTTCTTGTTGCAGGCCTTCTCCACTGAATTGTAGGCGGGGGTCATGCTTGTGCAGCCTGTGTGGTGCCATGGGGGCTCTCAGGAAACTTTTGTCACGCAGTATATTTAACTTTCTAAGAACTTACCTCTGTTTGTTTAGTATTTATTTATTTTTATCTTTTTGAGACAGGGTTTTACTATGCAGTTCAGGCTGGGCTTGAGTGCGGGGATTACAGGTGGGAGACACCATGCCTGGTTTACCTCTGTTTAATTGCTTGTTTCAGAATTTCAATACTTAGAGTGGATTTGCACTTGCAAAGTTGCTGAGTTTTAGTAGTGTATTGTCTAGAGTGGTTGCTTGTTCTGTCACCCGGCTAAGAAAGGAGGGACTAGAGTGCTGTTCATCTGTGCTTTTGGTTGCTGTTTGTGACTGGCAGTCCTGTACCAAAGTGGCTTGACACATAAGAGTGTCTTGACCTAGGTGGCACCACTGAAAAAAATGACAGACAGGTTAGATTAGATTTGTTTTGACATTAAGAAACATCCTGTAGGCAGTTTATAAGAAATGGAATGAGTTTTCAAGAGACAGTATTGAACCTTGTGAGTCCAGGAGATACTGATTGAGCTTAGGTGCTGTATTGTTCAAAAATATTTAGATTAGTGAAATAATTAGCCAACTGCTTGATGTGTATGAAAATCAGTATCTTAAGCGTGAAGCACCTTGTCAATGGTTGTGCAGGTTGATACCTGCTTTTGGAAGCTAGTTTGTCAGTAGATGTTGCATACTTACAATGCTTAGACTCTTTGGTTGACTGTCCTGCTTTTCAGAATTCCTAAAGAAATATCTAAATTACAGGGACTGGGTATTGAGCTCAGCAGCATAAGTCCCTGCCTTATAAGCGTGTAGTCGTCAGTTAATCCCCGGTACCAAAAAAACCCCTCTATACTACAGGAAAAATCAGGATCCCGAAGAGGCTTCTGTCTTTCAAAAAAATTTTTTATTAGTGCATGTTTCAGTATATAATGTTTACTTTCTGCAGAGTTGGTGCATGTATATAACACATCTTATTATTATTATCACTGCTATTATTAGTTACAGTTCTGGGGTTTGAACCCAGGACCTTGTGCACATTAGGCCAACGCTGTGTCACTGAGCCACACTCCTGCCCCATAACATGTTTTAATTCCTCCTTTAATCCTTTCTCTTCTCCCCAGCCCCACCCTCTGGCCCTTGATCCCCTCCCATTTGAGAAAGATCTTTGTCCCTATTTCCTATTATCTTTTATTTAGCTAGTATTACGGGCAAGCATCACCTCACCTAGCTGTCAAAGGGCGTTTGAACAGCTACAGGGTTTACACTATAGCAGGCAACCTGAGCAAGGTGTAAAATTGTATGCGTAACTGATACCGGTAGATACAGGATAAACAGTAAGGGTAGAAAAAAGACGGAGAGCAGGAATATAACTCAGCAGCACAGCACCTGCCTGGCTAGCATGAGGTTGTATTTGATCCCTATTACCAAACAACAAACAAACAAAAAGATGGAAAGGACTATATGCACTCATGTTAAAATGCTACGATTGTATTTTCCTTGAATTCTGTATTTTTCAGTGAAAAATCTCTATATAAATTATTTATGTGAGTTTTAACAAAGAAGTTATATGCTTAAAGAAATATGAAAAAGAATAATTCTTTGTTAAGAATGGGTTTAGCTAATCAGAAATACTGTGTCTTTTTGTTGTTGTTGTTACTGGGGCTCGAACTCAGAACCTCATGCTTGCTGGGCAGGCACTTACGCCACTGAGCTAAATCCCCAGCCTAGAAATACTGTGTGTTATAGGTCATGGGTAGGGTGCTTGCCTAGCTTGTGCAGGGTCCTAGGTTTGATTCCCAGCAGAAGGAAAGAAGGTGAGAAGGAAAAGGTGTCCCCTACCTTCATTTTTTAGTCTCTCCTAGACCCTGAGTGACCTGCCGTCAGTTCCTCTTTCCTCCCTGTCCTCTCCCCTGCCTGTTGTTGCATGCATAATTTTCTTCTCTCTGCGCAGAGCTCGCCTACCTTTGGGTTCCTGCTGGACATCGATGGTGTGCTAGTGCGGGGCCACAGAGTGATCCCGGCTGCTCTGGAAGCGTTTCACAGGCTGGTGAACCCTCAGGGCCAGTTACGGGTGCCTGTGGTTTTTGTCACAAATGCTGGGAACATCCTGCAGCACAGAAAAGCCCAGGAGCTGTCAGCCCTGCTGGAGTGCAAGGTAAGGAGACCAGCAGAAGCGTAAAACCCGGAGGTGTTTCCAGTGGGGACTCCTGCTCTGACTCTGCCTCCCTTCCACTATGTCGGGATATGGTGTCAGTAAGCCCTCAGTGATGGCCAGTGGACATCTTCAGTCCTGCAGGAAAATGTGATGATCAAGCCGAGCCCCATGGGAAGGGTCTGACCCATGCATACCTATACCGACACCCACACACACACCCCATCAAAGTTGTGTTTTGGGGACCATTGCCCTCAGGGTCACATCTGCCTGAGGCTGCACATTTGAAGTGGGACTGTGCAGCCAGGGCCTGGCTCTGCCTGGGTCAGTGCTGGGCACCCTCGAGTGCTGTGTGATAGCAGTCTGTGGTCACTCCACGTGCTCCCATACCACGTCCCAACACAGCTGTGCTCTCATTTGTTGCAGGTGAGTTCAGCTTTTGGAAGTCCTTTGGAACCAAGAGAGCCGAGACAGTGGCTGATTATTTGGGCGGTTTTGCTTGAGGCTTAAGGCAGAGTAAAGGAGTAGAACTGGTTCCCTGCTGTGGTTCCAGAGCAGGTTTCAGAGCGTTCGGAGTAAAGGCTGCATTGTTGGAGCAAGCATAAATGTTAAAGAGCTTCAAGAAACCTGGAAACAGCCAAAGTCTGAGGCAGGTTCTGTGAGTGTGACAAGGAACATAGATGCAAGCAGGCGGTTTCCGCGCTGGGGCCGAGAGACCTGCAGGGGTCAGTGAGCTGGGCACAGCAGGGCTGTGAGCGGCCAGACCCCACTTCTGTTCTTTTGTTTTGCATGGCAGGAGTCAAATGCAGCAGTCTGCTTATGCCTGGTTGAGTATTTTTTGGAAGTATCAGTTGCCAGCAATGGCTATCCCCTCTATTTTTTGGGTAGTTTTTCCTTCTCAGGTGAAAGAACCTGCCACATGTCTCTCCATTATTTTCTCAACTCTGTGCCTCTCTTTGCTGTCCTGCTTTGTGGTTGCCCTTGCAGGTGGAGCCAGACCAGGTCATTCTCTCTCACAGCCCCATGAAGCTCTTCTCACAGTACCATGACAAGCGGATGCTGGTGTCTGGGCAGGGACCCGTGGTGGAGAATGCCCGAGCGTATCCTTCGTGTCCTCTAGTTTGGCTGGAGAGGAAGGAGCTGGAGTGGCCCTCCCTGCTTGGCTGAGTGGGGGTGGTGGTACAGTGTGCTGGCTCAGGGTGGAGGAGTGCATGGCATGCATGGTGGGCTCTTGGGGCAGGAGGAGGCTTTTGCCCGAGGGCGCCCTCATGTGAGCTCTGGAAAGTCTGTGGTGTGGACGCCAGTCCGCACCAGGCCTTCTGCAGAGCTTTGGGTGCTGAGTCCTGGGCCTTTCCAAGTCTTGGGCCTTACTGTTGGTTGGAGAATCTCAGCTCACTTTATCTAGGGTGGGTGTCAGGAATCTGTGTGTGTGGTGAGGACAGAACCCGGGCCTCGTATATTCTCAGCAAGCAGGCCCAGAATCTGCATTTAAAAAAAAAATACAATTCTCCAGGTGATTTTGTAATTGGCTTTGGGAAGCAGTGATCTAGGCCTCTCCCTCGGGGCTGGTCAGTCTGTTTGTCAGCACCAGGAGTCAGCAGGGGCCTCCTGTTGGGCAGGGTATGCGCCAGAGAACAGGTGTGGTCCCTGTTCTCAAGCAGCATGTACATCCCAGGCGTCTGCGTGAGTCGATGTCTTGAAGTCCTGAAGATTTTAGCTCCTGTCTAGTGCCCCTAGACTCTGCCTGGCTCCTCGCCCCTGAGGTGTCCTCTGAGTGCAGCATGTTGTGCTGGCACTGTCATGGTGCGTGGCTCTGGATGGACTCAGTGCTTGTCTGTGGTGTGAGCAAAGTTATGTGCCTTTGTGCACTGGTCCTGCCTCTCATGGGACCTGGCATTTGGAGGTGCCCGGGGGCTGCAGAGGAATTGCCCTGGCATTGCTCAGTAGCTCTGCCTATGCTGCATGGCCTGCCTTTTGGCATCCGGCCTTCTTTGTGTGAGCAGGACCGTCTGCTTCCCCTTGCTTGTGCTGTGTGCCATCAGAAAGGCCTCTTCCTCGGAACTGTCCAGCTTTGCTCCCTGATCTCGCTTCAGCCTGGGCTTCCGGAACGTGGTTACTGTGGATGAGCTGCGAACGGCCTTCCCTGTGCTGGACATGGTGGATCTGGAGCGGCGACCGACTGCCACGGTAATGTAAAGTATGAGCTGCGTCACACCCTCTCTGCCTCCCTCTGGGGTCTCAGTGTTTACTTCTTTGCTGTCCCCTCTGTTGGCTTCCTTTGCTGGCTTCACTACCCTCTGCTCAAAGCTTTGTTCTGTCAGTGCTTCTGAGCATGGCTTCTTTGGAGAGCTGTACCTGGCCAGGACTTGTTCTCTAGATATGCTGGTGCCTTTCTGGGTTGTTTATAGTTAGCTGGGTACCTCTTTTGGGTCTCCAGCATTTCCTCCAGCTAAATTTTATGTTTACTAGACAGCTTTCCCAGGGTAGCTGGGAGAAGCCTGACGTTTGCTGAACCTCTGACCGCTGCTCCTCACCCTGGCAGAGATCAAGGAGTTGCCCGGGGAGAGCCAGCTCGCTGGTACAGGGCCACTGGGGATTCTGCCTGCCTGCCCACCTGTATAGTGTTTGGTTCAGCTCATATCAAAACATAGGCTTGGTTTCTATTTGTGGTGCTGGGGATGGAACCAGGGTGTTGCACAGGCTTGGCAGGCGCAGAATCCCCGAGCTACACCCCAGCCCATGATTTTGTCTCCTGAGGGGTCCTCGGCCGTCTGCTGTGAGCTTTAAATATACCATGGAACTTACATTTTAAGTCGTACTACCCTCGAAATTTACTGAAATACACAGGCATGCTTTCATTTCTTTGTGAAACTTCTCCAGAGTTTTCCAATTATAGGATGTGTCCCTTTCTTTAAGACTTTTCTCTCTGTGACAAACCAGAATGTAGAGCAGGAAGAGACTCAGAGCCACTCGGGGCCTGAGCCCACAGAGGGCCTCAGCCCAGCTCACAGCACTGTTCGCAGGGGGAGCCAAGATTGCAGTGGCCTGGTATAGGGTGGATCCCAAGAGGCCAGTAAAGTGAAGGCTCTACCTACTGACTGCCGTCACCCCCAAGCCCTGATGGAACCTTCGCATCAGGGAATACTGTGTCTTTAGCTCACGGGCTCTAGAGACCTGACTGTTTGACAGAGCCTCACTGTGGAGCCCAGGCTGGCCTCATGGTAATCCTCCTGCTTCAGCTTCCTGAGTGCAAGGATTCCAGTACCAGGACTCCAGCAAGGCACCACCACGCCCACCTGGCTCTAGACTCTGTTTCCTCTGTCCTCAACATGCTATCCCTTAGCTTGTGCTTGGTCCACTTGACTGTCACTTGTGACTCTCCTTCCTGGGACCTGTACAGCTTTCCTTGCTTGGGCTGGCTCATGGGTGGTTGCTGGGCTGTGTGGAAGGTGCCTTTCCTGTCCCTCTCTGGAGATGGGCTTTTCACAAGTAGACGGTGACTTGGTTGACGGCTTCTTTGTCTCTTGACAGTCCGTTCTGAGGAGCGACTTCCCAGCCATTGAAGGTAAGAGGACTTTCTCCCTGTGTGAGTGTAGGGTCTTTCCTCTCTCCTTCCAAGCCCTCAGACTAGCACCGGGACTCGAATCCTGGACCTGCCACTGCCCACCAGGGGATGTTTGGTGTCACTCATGGGAGGAAGTGTTTGGTAGGAAAATTGTAAGCTTTGAAACTTTTGGGTTGAAAAATACCAAGGTACAGTCTACTCCAATGTTTCTCAACTTTATGAAAGCCTATTCTTCTTTGCATAACAAATAATTTTCCCCTTTGCTATCCTGAGATGAAATTCATGGGTGATGTAACTTTTCCACAAATGTATTTTTAAAAATAGCTAGTTAGATATGAAACCTTAAATGCCATAGGGTAAAATAAAAGGAAATATTTTAGTAAGATGCAGTGTTTTGGCAAGTGTAAGTGGTGTAATGCCACATTCGGGAGGCTGAGGCAGGAAGATCGTTGCACGTTTGAGGCCATGCTGGCTCCATAGTGAGTGCAAGGCCAACCTAGACAATATAGCAAGATCCTGTCTCTAAACAACAAGACTAGTGTTTTGATATGTAATAGTTATCTAAGAAGTGAAGTGTTTGCATCAAACACAGGCTCAGTGCCGCACATGCAGCCCAAGTATGTCTATGATTATGGAGCTATGTGCTACTGGGGCAGCATTCCATAGATGAAGGGATTGTCCACACCAGAAAACAGCTTTCAGTGAAGAAAAACAAGACAGGTGTAGTGGCTCATGCCCGTAATCCCAGCACTTGGGAGGCTGAGGCAGGAGAATCACTATAAATTCGAGGCCAGCCTAAGTGAGTTCACAGCCACCCTGCACTACGGGGCAAGACCTTGTCTCAAAACAACAACTAAAAAGAAAAATGAGTCTTGTGATGATCCTGCAAATGATCCTTGCATTTTAGGAAAAATTAAGTGTTTATAAAACTGTACAAAAGTGCATTGTGAAAAAAACCAAAACAAAGAAAGCTTTGTGATTATTTGCAAAATGGGCTTAGCCCAACTAGTTCTGTCCAGATTGGCCAGCTGCAATAGTATCGGGTAGGCATTCAGATACTCCTACGATGTGGGGTGGTTCTCAGCTACTGAATGTATCCTTGGTAGCTCTGAGATTTGCAGCCTCCTCCTCCTCCTCCTCCTCCTCCTCCTCCTCCTCCTCCTCCTCCTCCTCCTCCTCTTTTTCTTCCTCCTCTTCTCTGTTTTTTTTTTACGGGAGTGGGGATGGAACCCAGGCCTCGTGCATGCCAGGCAGGTGCTGTACCATTGAATTCCATCCCCAGTGCCCGTGTCCTCAGCTTTCTAATGCACCTCCCTGGTCAGTACTGCACCACTGAGAGCCACTGGTGAGGCTCAGATCACCGTCCCATAGCTGATATCCGCTCCTGCCTGCTGCCTGCCCACTGTGTGTCTGGCTCTGGGTTAAGTGGGTTTTTTTTTTGTTTTGTTTTTTTTTTTTTAAAACCTGTACCAGGGATTGAACTCACAACCGCCTGCTTGCAAGGCAGGTGCTTATGCCGCTGAGCTAAACCCCAGCCCCTGGGTTAAGTGTTTACAGATCTCTTTTAGTCTCAACACCCTAAGTCAGTGTTGCTGTTATGCAGTTGAGGAAGGTGAGGCGTGGAGAAGGAAACTCACTGCCACCGTCCTGCATTCACTCCGGGGCTGTCAGTTCACACCCCTGCTCTTGGCTATTGGGGTATACTGTTCCTTGGGGCCCTGAGAGAAGTGGTTGACAAGAGAGCCCACTGCAGAGAGCTTAAGGCTCATGACTGGTGGGTAGAGCCCAGTCAACAGACGGGGGCATGGGGAGACTTGCTGCATTTCCTGTTTTACCTCTTCGAATGCCGGTGGACACCGTTACAAATGTGAGCTGTCAGGGACCCTCTTGCTGAACCCCTCCCCTGCCACCACCACCGTGCGGGCAGTGCAGTGAGCAGCTCTGGGCTGGCTATGTCCACAGCTCCTGGGGGCTGCCACACAGGGTGGGTGGTAACCTGCAAGCCTCACTTCATGCCTTTTCTTTTGCAGGGGTGCTCCTTCTTGGTGAGCCAGTGCGCTGGGAGACCAGCCTGCAGCTGATCACGGACGTGCTCCTCAGCAATGGGAACCCTGGCAATGGCTTGGTGACAGCGCCCTATCCCCACCTCCCTGTCCTGGCCAGCAACATGGATCTTCTTTGGATGGCTGAGGCCAAGATGCCCAGGTGAGGACACAGGACCCCCAGTCCTGGCCATGGTGGTCCACTTCACACTCCTGTATGACCAGTCCTGTGAGTAGTTTGTTACTGTTGTCCTGATGCCCAGAGGCTGGCACCTACCTAGCTGGGCCCTATAGTTGTCACAGTAATGGGGCCTCTGGGAAGCTTTTGAGCATTGCTTCATGCATTAATTACTAAACTGAGACTATAGGCTGCTGCACATGGAGATGTGCGGCGGTGGTGTTTAACCCTGCTGTCTGCTCTGTAATCCCACAGAACAAGCTTTGTCAGGGCAGCCCGCACATTACTTACCCTGCTCCCTCTCCCCTCCCCAGCATTGCTTTCCTTGCTGCTCTGTTTGCGTTTAGCTGTGAGCTGGAGGGGCAGGGGCACCAGGATTGTTCTAATGGTGAGGTAGAACCTCGACAGAGGCCCCTAGGGTAGGCACACGGAGTCACCTTCCTTCCTGGTGGGAAACCAGAGGTGACTCTCCTTAAAAAAGGGAACTGTCTCCATGAGGATAAACCTAACCCTACCTCTGAGTATGGATGTGCACAGAGCCGACTGGGCTATTCCTTGACCCTTCAGTTGGCTTTAAGCAATGTAAATTGGGCTGGCTGAGGAGCTGATGTGTAATCTCTGAGGCAAAGTGGCAGGTCAGTGTCACCCCGCCCAGTGACTCCCAAATGCATGGTTGAGCAGGCAGGATGGAGAGCTGTGCTCCATGCTGTCAGCTGGGACCAAGCCTTAAAAAAGAGGCTGTGATGGTCCAGGGCAAGAAAGAATATACATCAAAACTAAAAACACCAACTCCCAATTATTAGATACTACCTCAGCTGTGTTACACAAATTGCTCTCTCTACCTTTCTTTCTTTCTTTCCTTTCCTTTTCTTTTCTTTTCTTTTCTTTCTTTTTGTCTTTTAGTACCAGGAATTGAACTCACTACCTTGCACTTGCCAGGCAGGTGCTTATGCCACTGAGCTAAATCCCCAGCCCTCTCTCTACCTTTCTTGGCGCTCTGCTTATCATAGAGGTGATCTCAGACCACCTGCTTAGCCCAGTCACATATTTCCCGCCACTCTTCACTGTCACGGGTCCCCGAGGCCCTCCCTTCATAGAGAATAAATAAACCTGGGAAGGGCTCTGGGTGGAGGCCTTTGTTTCAGTGAACACCATCCTGGCTGGACTTAGGACCCCCTAGGTCCCCACAACTGTATATGTGTCTCAATGTCTTTATTCTCGCTGTGGGTTGCACTGAAAGTGCTAGATTAAAATTAACGGATTAAAATTCCAATAACTTCTCCTTGGGATTATAATCATAAACCTTCCTGGACCATGACAAGGACAGAAAAGGGTTCCCCATACTTCCTTTTTTTAGGGCTGCTGGGTCACCCTTTTCTGGTGAGGCCAGCGGTGGCCAGAGCTCTGCTCCTGTACCTGCCACCGAAGCCCAGTGGGTTCTGTGAGTGGTCAGTTAGCTCTGGGTGTTGAGGCCAGGGCTGCTGCAAGTCCCAGGACTCAGGAATGCAGGGCATTTCCCTCGTGTTAAAGTATATTTCTGTAGCTCGAGGTTGTGGTATTTTCTCTGAAGTAACTATTCCTAGATGGTGACATGGCTGTGAACTGAGCAGCAGGGGGCAAATTTCACTTTTTAAATCAGACAAGATTAATTTTTATTCAGTAATTGAAGACAAGATGGTGGTGCACACCTGTAATCACAGCCTTTTGGGAGGCCAAGGCAGGAGGATCACAGTTTGAGCCCAGCCTGGGCAACTTGGTGAGATGCTCTCTCTCAATGAAAGAAAACACAACACAACACAAGGCAGGATCTTCAGTGCGAAGGCCCTGGGTTCAATCCCTAGTACTGAAAAAGCAAGCAAGTTGAATTCTTTATATATAAATGTAACTAATATATAGTGTGGGATCAATTAGGATTTGATTTAGCAGCCAAGGATAAAAATGCAGAACAAACGTTTTATTTTTTATTCTTTGAATCTTTTGTCTTTTTGAGACAGAGTTTCACTATGCAGTTCAGGCTGGTCTTGAACTCACTTTGTAGCCCAGGCTGGCTTCAAACTCACAGCAGTCCTCCTGCCTCAGCTTCCGGAGGGCTGGGATTACAGGTGTGCACCACCACAGCCAGCAACAAAAGTGTTTTAAACAAGATAGAATTGTTTTTGCTTATCATGTGACAGAAGTCTGGGGTGGGCAGTATGAGACAGGGCTTCTCCCGTCTTCCTTCTGTGCAGTCTGTAGTCCTCCACTGCATGTTCCAGAGTGGCTTCCTAGATGCCAGCCATCGTTAGTGTTCCCTGTGATGGGGAAGAGCCGAGAAGGACAGAGCAGAGCGTATTCCCCACCCCAGATTTAAAGACACTCAGTAAAAGTTTATCCCAGCCCTTTGGCTTTCACTGACTGTTCAATGCTAGTTAAGGCAGATGGCCACACCTCCTCAGGAAGGTGGGGACTGTACTTTTCCCAACATGCTGAGCTGAAATTAGAAACAATGAAGAAGGAGGGCATGGCTGCCAGTTCTCCTTCTAATCTGAATCAGACTGAAGCTGCCTGGGTTGTAGTCTAACCTGCCAGTGTGGGCAGGTTGCTGAATCCTGCCGTGTCTGTTTCTGGATGTATAAAACGGGGGTGTTAGCATGGGTCTGCAAGACTTTTTGGACCCTGTGTAAGGCACTGTCCTGTCCCATCGGGCCTCCTTGGCAGAGTGAACTCACCCTGCAGCCCGCAGCCTGCAGTAAGAGGTTGGTGTTGGGGCTGCAGCTTAGAGAGTAATGGCTGTGGCCTGGGGTCTGAACTGCTGGGCTCTCTCCTGGGGCAGGTTTGGCCATGGCACCTTTCTGCTGTGCTTGGAAGCCATCTATCAGAAGCTGACTGGGAAGGAGCTGCAGTATGAGGCCCTGATGGGCAAGCCCAGCCTCCTCACCTACCAGTATGCAGAGGCACTGATCAGGCAGCAGGCGGAGAGGCGGGGCTGGACCGCACCCATCCAGAGGCTGTACGCAGTGGGGTGAGCTGCCCTCCCCTCCCCTCGCCCTGTCTGCCCGCCCTCTGCATTCACCTCCCTCTTTTCCCTCTGTCCCATGCACACTTCCCTCCCCCAGTTATTCCCCTCTGTCCTTTCCCGACACTGAACTTGGGTTTCTTTTTTTCCCCTGCCAGTGATAACCCTATGTCTGACGTCTGTGGAGCCAACCTGTTCCACCAGTACCTACAGATGGCTGAGCGCGGTGTGCGGGCAGAGCAGCAGGGCGCTGGTGGCTCGCAGGAGCAGCTGCGCTCAACCACACGGAGCTGCACCTCCATCCTGGTGTGCACAGGCGTGTACCGGCCCGGGGAGCCTGGCTCCAAAGAGCCACCCTTCCACGGGCACCGGGATTTCAGCTTTAGTCCAGGGCTCCTGCAGGCGTCCCACGTGGTGGAGGATGTGCAGGAAGCCATGCGGCTGGCTTTCCATGAGGAGGGCTGGCCATGGTAGCACGGGTGAGCTGGAGCCAGGGCAGTGGGGACTTGTGTGTTGGTGTCTGGCTCAGGCCGGGTCCCCTCACCCCAAGCTGGGACGTCATGGGTCAAGAAGACATTGGCAGTTTTTCTGATGAACACTGGCCACAGAAATGTACCCGGCGCCACATTTCTGTGGAACTGTTGTGATTTCCAGTCTGATTCCTGTGTGCCTCTCCTGGAAATCTGACCTCAGGCCAGCCCCTTTACCTCTGTGCCTCAGTTTCTCCTGCTTTCGGCAGCAACTCCTGCAGAAAGGGAGGCAGTGTGGGATGGTGCAGAAGTCCCCACACAGCTGCAAGTATGTCGCTTAGTTTCACAAGCTGGTTTTCACTATTTTAGGTTATTGCCCAGAAATTTTGGGCTTATTTTTTAAAATTAAAATTATCCTAATAAATATTCATTGTGCTGTCTCTTGTGAAGCTCTGTCTAGAATGTACTAAAAGACCTAAGAGGAGCAGGGAGGTGAAGGTGCACAAGGCCAGCTCTGGAGACGGAGATTTGTAGCATTTCCATCCGTAAGATGTGGCCAGGGTGGGCTCAAACTTGTCAGCCTGCTGCCTCAGCCTCACAGGTGCTGGTCTCACAGCCAGGCAGCACCACGCGTGACTTAGTTTTGATTCTCAGAATGGTGCTGCCTGGTTCTGTGTTTCAGTCACTGGGACCCAGCCCCTCTCCCCTTTTCCTTTGCTTCCCAGTCAGTAGTGAACCCTGCTGTACCAAGATGTGCTACCTCAGCCCAGGCCCAAAGCAGCAGCGCCAGCCAACCATGGACCCAAGCCTTCCCAACTGTGACCCAGTAAACCGTTTCTTTTTATAAGCTGACTTACCTCGTGTGTTTGTTATAGTAACAGAAAACTCATACCCTGTTAGTACTGTCCTCAATCTTTCTCCAGTCATTTGCTTGGGACAGTGATTTTTTCTCTTCCCTCTTTCTTAAAACATTCCTGGACCACATTGATGGTGCACTCTAATCCCACCTGAGGCAGGAGGATTGAGAATGTGAGCTACACTGAGACTATGTCTCACCCTCTGCCCCCCAAGAAACAAAACACTTGGCTAGCCAGGTGTGGTGGTGTGTGCCAATAATCCCAGCACCCTGGGAGGCTGAGGCAGGAGAATTGCAAGTTCCAGTGAAGCCTGGGCAACTTAGTTAGTGAGACCCTGTCTGTCCAGGCTTGGAGCCGTGCTCCTCTGTCATCCCAGCATCAGCTCTGCCTTTAGCACGCATCCGGCATCCAACATGTGAGTGTTTTGCACCTCAGCCCCAGCCTCCTCATCTAGGCCTCCAGCCTTTTGCCATCCGTTGTCACAGCTTCCTCTTTCCTGTACTGTTGCTTTCCTCCCCAGTAGTCTCCACAATTGGTCAGGCTATATTTTGTTATTTTATTTTGTTTTCTTCCTTTTTTTGGCAGGGGGAGGGTCTTTCTGAAAAAGGGTCTCACTATGCAGTTCAGGCTGTTCTTGGGCTCATCTTGTAGCCCGGCTGGTCTCAAACTTGCAAATGATTCTCCTGCCTCAGCCTCTCAAGCGCTGGGATTACAGAAGTGCACCACCATGCCTAGCTTTTTATTTTGTTTTCATTTTGAGATAGGGTCTCACTGTGTAGCCCAGGCTGGCCTTGAACTCATGGCTAACCTCCTGCCTCAGCCTCCTGAGTACTGGGATTACAGCCACGTGCACTACCACGGCTGGCTGGTCAGACTAATGTGGATCTGTGCAGCCTCTAGCCCTCAGGTCTCTGTACCTGCAGTTCTGTCTGTACCAGATGCACTCTCTCCTTTCCTGTTATTGCTTGAAGATTTGATGTGAGGTCACCCCATAGATGCATGTGGGTTCCACTAGAGAACTCTCTCCTCGCCGGGTTACGTTTTTCCTAGCACTTGCCACTTCAAGGTCCTCGTCTTACTGCTTGTTGAATGTCTTCCACTGAGCACACTGTGGAACTTGGCCACGCTGTCTTAGCCCCTAGACCCACAGGTCTGCACCTCAGGGTGCAGTGGGTGGCTGTTCCACTGATGGTTCCACAAGCCCATAAATCCTAGTGTCCTTAAGGCCAAACCTACCTTCCTTTTCTCCTCCATTGGGGACTTTTGCAAAAGTGAAAAGACTGCCGGCCTAGAACGGAAACCCAGCCCGCCACTTAAAAGCTGTGTGTGTGGGTGTGATTTCTCTCATTTCTCCGAGCTCGTTTTCTTGGCTAAGGAATTGGTGCTCATGATATCTAAGCCAGAGGGTTATCTGAGAGGAAGAGGGCACTTCCGAACACAGGATGCATCGCTGAGGGCACCAGAGGGTCAGGGAGGGAAAGGAGAGAACTGGGGTCCCCATCCGTGTCTGGGTGCACCCCCTGCGCTGCAGCCTTGTCTTGGTTCTGAGCAGGGGCAATGAGCCCAGCCCTCAAAACTTGATTACCTCGCAAGGGCTTTTCCAGGACACCCTCACCCCGGGACTTCCAGTTCTGTCTGGCTGACTGCAATAGTGTCACACAGGTACCACTGGCTATAAGGACAGTGCTGCCCAAACAAAATCAGGGTTTCGGTTTTTGTATGGTGTGTGTCTTAAGTGTTTGCTGTAACCCTCCTCACTTCTGTCTTTACTGTACTGTGGTGCTGGGGCATATCCAGGGCTCCTGGGCAAGCACTGTGGCACTGAGCAGCACCCCAGCCCTGGGCTCCTGCGTAGATGAAGGGCAGTGGGATGGATGTCACACGGACACCTCCAGTGCTGGCTGCAGTGCCTGGGACTCCAGATGATGCTCAACTGGGATTGTGCCCTGCGTGCTCCGAGGACACTGGTCAGTCCTGGTCTTCTGACACACCTCACCTAATACTCGCCAGAGCTGCTTGCCAAGCAGTTAATGTTGCCCACAGTTTCCCAACATCACTCACACTTTGTTGGAGCCTCACAAACCCCTGAAGGGGGGAGATAATTCCTTTTTTTTATACTGGGGGAGGAAGCCAAGGCCTTCCCACCGAATGACTTCTTCGAGGTTTTTTTTTTTTTTCCTTCAAGACAAGATCTCACTAAGTCACTCAGGCTGGGTTTGAATTTTCAGTCCCCCTCCTCAGGCTCCCAGAATGCTGGGATTCCAGGCATGTACCACCACCCCCAGCTGAGAGGGACAATTCTCAGCTATTCCACTATCATAAGTGAGACACAAGGCAAGGGGCAGTCAGTCTTCCATTGAAAACCATCTGCAGATGTGCTAAACTGAGCGGCAGTGATGTCACTGGTAACAACCTCAGCCCTGTGAGGTCTCCTGTGAGAGATGAGGGGTCCAAAATCAAAGTCTGAAGGAGGGCAAGGCCCGTACATCTGTCTCCTAATCTGAATCCAACATCCTCCCCAAGACACGGCACTGCCCACTGGCTGCCTCTGACCCTGTCCAGCAGTGCTCGGGTCCTGGTACCTCTGCAGCCCCGGAGGTCCCTTGGGCCATGCAAGCAAGCTGAGCCATGGGCCGGCCAGCAGCTGAGCACAGAAGGGAGCGGATGGTGAAGTGTGGCCCAGTGGGGAGGGTCGGGACTCCTGAGCACAGATGGAAGTGACAGAGCTACTGCGTCTTTGCCCTGGCTCTGTCCCTTTGGCTGGCTGTCTTTTCAGCTCTGTGGTTGTTCCCTGCCCTTCTTACTTGTTTGGGTTCCCTAAAGATACCACCAGCTATTCTCGGCTGGGTGCAGAACAGAGCGTGCACTGCCTCATTATTTATGCAAATCTGCGGAGGAGGACAGGGCTGCCACTTAGCTCAGTGCCAGTTCTGTCCCTTAGGGGCTTTGTCTGAACCGTGGAACCTGAACTGAGAACCAAAGGTCTTCATTTGCTCACTTTCAGACTGAGTGGAAATGTTAACCTTTTGGTTTTTGATGGAATTGGGTGAATAAAAACCGTGAAGACTGTGTGTTAATTGGAATAGGATGTGAGTGTTCCCTGACTTTTAATTAAAATAACTTTTTTTTTTTTTTTTTTTTTTTTGCAATGCTGGGGATTGAACTCAGAGGATTGTCCTTGCCAGTCCAGCAATGTGCTCCACAACTGAGTCACATCCTCAACCCTGAGGTCCCTTTTTTCCCTTTTTGTGGTGCTGGGGACTAAATCCAGGGCCTCCTTTATGCTAGGCGAGCACTGCACCACTTGCATCCTCCTACCTTTGTTATCTGACTTTTGAGATAGGGTCTCACTTAGTGCCCAACTTGGGCTCTGAGTTGAGCTCCTCATGCCTCAGTTTCCTCAGTAGCTAGGATTACAGGCCTGTGCTCCAGCGCCTGGTGGAGTCTTTTTAACCCTTCCAGACGACTTGTGGTGAACAAACGAAATCTCCTGATCTCCGTTGCTCTCTTCAGGTCACCTCTGACTGTGAACTCTGGCCCAGCTGGCTTCTGGCTGTGTGGTGAGAGTGATGGTAATCAGGACACCCTGCAGAGCTGGGGTTGCTGTAGCAACTGGATGCTGCCTGGAGGGTAGAATTTTAAAATATCTCAGCTATAATAGTTGCATTTTTAAAAACATCATTCTGTCACTTCCCCAGTGCTTGGAGGTGCTGCTGAGGCGGGCAGTGTTAGGGTGTCTGTTCCTCTGCCTGGGGCTCTTGGCAGCTTCTGGGGGTTGGAGGTGGGAAGATGTCTTGGGGTACGAACTGCTGGGAAGCTGCAGAGCCTCAGCTTTGGCTTCCAGTTCTTGGTTTCAAGTCTTGTGTTACTTTTTCTTTTTTGGGAAAGAGAGAGCCGAGGTCTCGCTTGACACTCCCACCTCCACGCTGACCTGACTGCTAACCGAGCCTCTGCTTTCCAAGGCAGCCTAGCAGGCCAGACCTTTCTACCAAGGTCTTTTTTGTCTGCTTCTTCCTTTGTTCTTTCTAACTTCCTTTTTGGGCTTCATGTATTCATTCATCGAACGCCTGTGATCACCTGCTAGACTTGAGGATTAGAAACAAGAAACACCTTGGCCCATCCGGAGCTGTGGATCTCTTCGAACTTAGCCTCTGGAAGGTGGCAGAGTGCTGGTGTCCAGGCTGGGACTGCTGCTCCTGGTTCTGCTCCTCTCCATGCATTTATTCAAACCAAATAGAGATTGTGCCATTTTTAAGTAACTTCGTCCAGGGCATCTCTGCTGCCGCAGATGCAGCCAATGCCACCAGCCAGGCAGGTGGCAGTGCCCTGGAGTCAGCAGCCAGGCTCCCTGCCTCTTCTTCTGTACTGTTAGAGACTCACCCAGAGACTGCTCCATTCCTGTCTCCTAAACCCAATTCAGTGATGACTAAAATCCCAGTGTCTGCATCACATTTACTGATTCTTGCAGGGCAAGCTCAAGGTCGTGAGTTCAATCCCCAGTACCAAAAAAGCAAAAACAAAAACAAAAAAACTATGCAAATTTACTGATTCTATACCTTATTTTATCAACACAGAAAAGGTGA